ACAATCTATATCACACACTATATATCACACTCTATATCACACACTCTATATCACACAACACTCTATATCACACACTCTATATCACACACTTTGTATCACACACTCTATATCACACACTTTGTATCACACACTCTATATCACACACTCTATATCACACACTCTATATCACTCACTCTATATCACACACTCTATATCACACACTCTATATCACACACTCTATATCACACACTCTATATCACACACTCTATATCACACACTCTATATCACACACTCTATATCACACACTCTATATCACACACTCTATATCACACACTCTATATCACACACTCTATATCACACACTCTATATCACACACTCTATATCACACACTCTATATCACACACTCTATATCACACACTCTATATCACACACTCTATATCACACACTCTATATCACACACTCTATATCACACACTCTATATCACACACTCTATATCACACACTCTATATCACACACTCTATATCACACACTCTATATCACACACTCTATATCACACACTCTATATCACACACTCTATATCACACACTCTATATCACACACTCTATATCACACACTCTATATCACACACTCTATATCACACACTCTATATATCACACACTCTATATCACACACTCTATATCACACACTCTATATCACACACTCTATATATCACACTCTATATATCACAAAATCTATATCACACACTCTATATCACACACTATATATCACACACTCTATATATCACACACTCTATATCACACACTTTGTATTACACACTCTATATATCACACTCTATATCACACTCTATATCACACACTCTATATCACACACTTATATCACACACTCTATATCATACACTCTATATCACACACTCTATATGACACACTCTTTATCAAACACTTTATATCACACACTCTATATCACACACTATATCACACACTCTATATCACACACTTTGTATCACACACTCTATATCACACACTCTATATATCACACACTCTATATCACACACTCTATATCACACACTCTATATATCACACACTTTGTATCACACACTCTATATCACACACTCTATATCACACACTCTATATCACACACTCTATATCACACACTCTATATCACACACTCTATATCACACACTCTATATCACACACTCTATATCACACACTCTATATCACACACTCTATATCACACACTCTATATCACACACTCTATATCACACACTCTATATCACACACTCTATATCACACACTTTGTATCACACACTCTATATCACACACTCTATATCACACACTCTATATCACACACTCTATATCACACACTCTATATCACACACTCTATATCACACACTCTATATCACACACTCTATATCACACACTCTATATCACACACTCTATATCACACACTCTATATCACACACTCTATATCACACACTCTATATCACACACTCTATATCACACACTCTATATCACACACTCTATATCACACACTCTATATCACACACTCTATATCACACACTCTATATCACACACTCTATATCACACACTCTATATCACACACTCTATATCACACACTCTATATCACACACTCTATATCACACACTCTATATCACACACTCTATATCACACACTCTATATCACACACTCTATATCACACACTCTATATCACACACTCTATATCACACACTCTATATCACACACTCTATATAACACACACTATATCACACACTCTATATCACACAGCACTCTATATCACACACTCTATATAACACACTCTATATCACACAACACTCTATATCACACTCTGTATCACACACTCTATATCACACACTCTATATCACACTCTATATATCACACACTCTATATATCACACACTCTATATCACATACTATATATCACACACTCTATATATCACACACTTTGTATCACACACTCTATATCACATTCTATATATCACACTCTATATATCACACTCTATATCACACTCTATATATCACTCACTCTATATCACACCCTCTATATCACACTCTCTATATATCACACACTCTGTATCACACACTCTATATTACAGCACTATGTTGATTTTTCCACTCGATGACCCTCTTTGTTATCTTCTTTTTAGTAAATTTTGAAGATTTATTCTTTTCTGTTTCTTTTTTTTGACTTACATGGTGTCTTCTGATAAAATTGTATTTGTCACGTAATTGTAAACCCAGCCCTGTATAATACCTTATACTTTTCTGTAGTATTGGATGTTAACAATTGTTTGGATAGTAATAACGTTTCTTTTTGTTCATTTAAAAATGCAAAATCCGAAGCAGCAATTCTCCATACTGAGGCCCCCTACTCTATGGATCGGTCCTACCTTTTTATTATTTACCGAGACCTGGCTAACACTGTGATATAAACTGTTTAGATCTGAGCTAGTACAGATCTTCTCTGACAATATCATCTTCGTGAAGTCTGGTATGGATAGGGTTGTGTTTTTGTGTATGTTAAAAATGAGATATAGGCGAGACAGCGACAGTGTTACAGGCGTGTACCTTTACAGTAAATTAATCATGTGCATGCAAAGTTTATCATCTAGCCATCTTAGGGGAGCCCTCCAACATACACACCCGTATAACACATTTTGATATCTAGAAGCTCTGTGGTGCAATCTGGTGATTTTTGAGAGCAATATTAGAGAGTTGCATTTACAGTTTTTATTTTTATATTTTTTATATCCATATTTATGTTGACTATAGGCAGCTAAGTCGGATAAAGCGGTAGTATACTAGAGGATGTTCAAAATCAGAGTATATCTTACTGATAATTCTAAAGCTACCTTACTAATGCGTTATAATGACCTTATTCATTTACGAGAGTTACATTTGCCTTTCGACCTTTCTGATATGGTAAATGTATCTACGTTTTCCACCAGAAGGTCCTTTTCTCTCCCTGACATTGTCTTTGTAAGTATCAAAGGTCTAATCGATAAATGTAAAGTAGGCCAATACCAACCATCCAGGTATCGTATACCTAGTTATTGTAGCATTATCATTCCGAATACACTTAATACAGGTATGTTAATAGTCATGTGAATTAAGACCTGTAGAGGGACATTTCACTTACTGACTAGGAAATCTGACCCGATTTGTCCATGCGTGGACCACCGTACTATCCACTCCTCAAAACGGCAAAGATATGTATCACAAACCCTAATCTTAGCACCGTCCAGAAGAGTGACGATGAAATTTGGAAATAATGACAACTAAAATAAATTTAGAAACAATCACAACAGAATGTGTTGATTGCACGCTTCTTGAAACAGGGAAACAAATAATATTTTGAACTATAAGGGCAAAGTCAATTAATAAAATGGGGGGGAGGGGGGATAATGTTTTAAACCCAAGTCTGGCAAATGGTCGTTTCCCTTGTTCTTCACAATATTTTTTTTCTAGCGAGTTTGATAAAGGTTACATTTTGACGATTGTTCCTAAACCACATTTGACAACCCAAACTTCTGACAAGCGATCTTGACCAAGTGAAGGCACGGTATTTGAAAGAGTAATTTTATTTTATTTACTACCCTTTTGACGAATATACTTGATAAATCTCACCTTTTTGAATGGCAACACAAATATATATATATAAATCGTATTCGTCTAACTACCGATCGATTTTATTGTGACAATGACGAGTCTGTAATTGCAAAGCTTATTGAACAATGTGTTAACAAGCATGTTTGTAACTTCGCCATGATGAATTCCTCTTGTCGTCAAATCGATCTAGTTTTAGAACCGGTGATATCGACTCATTTTGATTGTTCATGCAGCACTTTATACAGACGAAGAGATTCGTATGGTATTTTGTGATATTTGCGAAGCATTTGATTCAGTCTGGAATCGTGGTCTTATTTTGAACATTTAGTATAGCATTAAATGGAAATTAGTTGTAATTGGTTACAAATTATTTGTCTAATCGTACAAAATAGTTGTTATAAAATTGGAAATATGATTAGCTGGCATGACATTATATCTATGTATAATAATATGAGGATTTTTTTATCAATTGCATAGTTAATAACGCTGAACCAATGATTGAATACAGCATACACTTACTAGCGTTACCGCCTTATGTGCTATTGGCAATGTCTGTTTTGGTCTCTAATGTGCCCCCAGATAATACAAATTCCCAATTCTACAAGGACCCCGTTTAAGTCATGATCTTATGAGGTAACGTATTGAACTACAACAGGTCAGTCTTTTCTTCTGAACGTATAAAACACTATCCAGGTTCGGAGAATTTTAATTATTAGAAGTTATAATCGCAAATATCCAAGATGGTATATTTAAGATATCTCAGTAAGGCCAAGGAAATCATACTTAAGTACAGTGAATATGGTTTTTATCCATTTTAGTGAATTACTTTTCACATGTAACCCAAGAAGCATTAACGTACTATCTTATCACTTTCTCAGTTTATGGTCTAACGAATGGAAATAACAACAAATCTGATTGGTTTTAAAGTGAAACGAAACCGTATGTTTTCTTTATACTCATGATCATATCAAACAAAGTGGCATCTACTAAGAATCAAGTTACCGTTTCCAACAGCATTGTCGCCTGAGGTGACATATGATGGCCCCGTCAGAATCGGGAAATTCCTAAAATTAATGTTACGGCGGCTGTCTTAAGTTTGTCAAAGTATGATCTGTTTGGTCCATCAAAATATCACAGCAATATTCATGTTATAAAAAAATAATTACTGGCCGTTGGTCGGTGGTTTTTCTCCGGCTTACCTCCACCACCAAAACCTGGCACGTCCTTCAATGACCATAGCTGTTAGTAGGACGTTAACACAAACAAACTAAACCAAAACCAAGAACAAGTATATGATCGAGTATTAGAATACTATTATGAGATATAGGAAATGTGTTGGTTCATTTGATTCAGACGTTTTTAAAATAATGTGTCTAGGCCTTATAGACTAAATTATACCCACTATTCTGTCGCACGATTGACATATGAACCACAATCACAGATAGTGTCACCAATTTGTCCATTTATTCCGAAAATCAACATGTATCTGGTACAGATGACAAAAGCAGTTAACGTTGTCTGGTACAGACCCCACATGGACATGAAGCGGTGAAATGCTACAACAAATCATAAACAAATCTTACCAAACAGTCTTCTATCTCTGTATAAACATGTACACATATCAAGAAAGCCTATACTGTAATTATATAATTATATCGCATACAATTTCTGTACATGAATCTACCCGATTCACATATCACCGAACATATCCCATCTTATCGAAATCATCATATTTATCTTCCAAAAGCTCCTATCCGATAAACATATACGATACTATGTAAATAACTAACAAGAAACCAGGTAAACCATTCTGTAGCATAAGGGCTTATCTAGAAAATACAAAACAAATAGTCCTAAAGTCCTCACCGAGAACTGGAAAGGTAAATTTATATGTATGGTGAATTATTCAACACTTCTAGCTAAGTTAGGCTATGCCAATTATGGCGACTTATATTATCCCTATTTCTACCTGGATTATGCAGAAATTACATAAATTGTTACTGCAAATAATAAACCAAGCATCATTATAATTTGAAGAAATACTTACAAAGTGTGAACTAGCACAGTTTAACCAAAAGGTTGTAAATAAGAATATGTAGCATGCCTACATGTAGGGCGCTGCCATATTTGTTTTTCCCAGTCAGACCACGAGGAGCCCCAAGTAGTCGATAAATCTATATACAACAAGAGAAGGTGAAACTAATCGATAAAGACATTAAATCTCTGTGAGAAGACAGAACACCCACATTTCATGAAAACATCCTGATTCATCGTGATGTCTGTGACTACTATGTCCATATATTTACATTTGCATGGCATTGTCACTATATAGCCTCTTTGAGAGCTGTGTCGTTGATGGGACTTTAATTACCATGCCGCACGAGACATAATTACCATGCCGCACGAGACACAATTCTTAGCGTATTAATTACAACACTGGCCGGAACTACAATATCCAATGTAAATAAACATGACGGCTGCTGAAATATCGCTGGGCATTGTGAGATTTGATAATGTCATTGTAAATTTATGTGCAAAATAAAAATAAAAAAAATAAATAATTTATTACAACGAAAACAAGACCAAGGTTTGCAATATCGTACAAAATGCACACCGGTTGAAATCACCAATGCCGGCAATGGAAATAATTTTAACGCTCATGCAATTTATCAGAAATATCGTCTGTTACACTGCACTGATCAACAGGGTTTCGTTATAAATGTCTGAAATGCACATATTCTATAGACCTACTGACACATATGTTACAGACCTACTGATATGAATCACAGCAGACATAAACATTCGTCATTTCAGACATTTGTAACGAACCTGTGCTCCGTCGCAAGATCACTCACTTCAAACGCTATCAGTTTCACGCGTCTCGGATCCACGGTTCCTCAGTTTCAGGCGACATGTGATCAAATAACGATGCTGTTATAGAATCTACCGACTGTTGTCGGGTTCCCATACAATCAACAAATACATTCACGCCTGGATTCTTCACAAAACGAGCAAAGAGAAACGTTCGAATTAACTTCCAAAAATAACTCCCTCGTGGAGGTCAAGGTCCCATTCACGGTGTTCACTGTATTTGTCCAAGAGCGAAATTTGTTCCGGGGGAAAATCGAAACAATTTCGAATCTAACTTTCAGCTCAGATTTCTATTGATTAACTGGAATCACCCTATAGACATATCATACGCAGTTGTATTGATACTAAATTGTGGAATAAATTTGAAGTGTTTGTTAAAATGTCAAAGTACTACTTTGTTTGCCAATCAGCACGCGACAATACGCTGTTCAAACTATTGAACGAAATTGTGTGGACTGTCGATAAGGCGGGCATTTTTAATTTTAATTATAAATTATAAGTTAAAAAAGAACATAAGAGGCAGAGAAAACGTAAATATAAGTATTGAACTGTTTTTGTATGATATTTATGATCTATTTGAATGACACAGCTTTGCAAGCAAACAAATCATAATGCGCGCTTGTTTGCTTGCAAAGCTGTGTCATTCAAATAGATCATAAATACCATACAAAAGCAGTTCAATGCTTAAATAGTAGCATCTTCGTTCGCGGGTTTATTGGTGGTTAATGGTCACAGCTCTGTGATGCGAAGAGTAACATATGTGAGGAGACAATTATTCGGATGTATTTTTCACCATTAAATTTATATTTATCTGTTCCACGTCCTAGTCACCATCAAGAACTCAAATGGTAGATTTTTATAAATCACATAACATTTGAAATTTTCCTGTTCTTAAGCTAGAAATAAAAAAAAGGAAATGTAACTACGAAAAGTTTCTCCATTCAATTTACTTATATCGAGTTAGTATAAGAGGATGACCCTGATCTCGCATTAGGTTTTTTTTTCTTTGTAAAGGTGATAATTATTTTCATATTGTTTTATACCTGAATCATTAAAGTGTGTGTCGTTGCTCCCAGCCATATGACTTCTGATACATTCGAAAATGCTGCAGGACATATGTGCGTTGATATGTTTAAATTTCTTAAACTTCTCTGGGAAGGAGGACAAGGCGAAGCTTGTTGCTCGAGTTTATTCCCTCGTAAATGGCTGACTGAAGGCACTGTGTTTAACGCTTTACTACGCTCCATGTAAAATAAACACTACATTTTATCAAAAGATGAACTTCCGAGCGTCTGAACGTATTCCAAGCCCCATAAATCTCTAGCTACGTTTCTGCTTATTGCAGCATACAAAGACACGGGTCTCATACATGGGAGGTTATTCCCATATATTATCACTAAGTTTACGGGTTGTCTACCTTAGCTCAGGGTTTTGAAATTAATCTGCTTGAATTACCAATCTGATTAAAATCATGTTACATGGCTCAGGGATGTCCACACAACCCTGCATGGCTTCGTTAACTTCGTACAACGGCTGAACATCTGAGTGTGCTGCGGTCAGGGTCACGTTCAGGTGACCTTTATATTTATAAATACTCATTAAATTTTGACCAATTAGTGACCCTCTTTCAAAAGGGCGCTCAGAGTTATTTGAGATTGATCGTCTGAAACCCGAACAGAAAAAGATATTCGAAGCTTTATTAGAGAAGAAAGGCTGTATGGCGGTTGTTGCCTACGCAATTATTACCCAAAGGGTACGTTTTCCTTGGTGTCGTAGAAACGTCAGTTCCCGCCGCCATATTTGTTTTGGAAAATAATCTGTTCGATACCCCTCGCTTTTTATATATCAACCATGTTATTCCGATTCGCTGGCAAACTTTTACCAGCGCGCCTCTGATTGATTCATTTAAAGGTCACTTGAACGTCACCCTGACCGCGGCACATTCAGATGTTCAGGCGGAGCCATGTAACAGATGATTTTAATCAGATTGCTTGAATTACATGTCTATCACTTACTTTGTGACATTTCCTCATTACAATTTACGGGGGTTGTATACGGTAGTCTACTGTCCGTATTAAGCAATATTGCTTTCAGCAAAAACGAGCCAAACACGAATTTATGAATATATATTTTATTTGGTCTGTCAGTCAACCATACATCGTTCTTTACATGCCAAAATAATTATATGAATGTGTACACCACAGCGCTGATTGGGGTCTGAAGATGAACAATGTGTTATCAGTAATTATATCCTACAATGATGTTCCGAAGATACTTCACATCAGACGTAAATTAATACGCCTGCTATTGAACATGTGTTATTTTTGCTGTAGTTTTTTTTAATAGTTAGGCATTCAGCACGATACCATCGACACATTCAGACATTTTTACATGTACAAACGTTACAGACAATTTACACGCATTCTTCAGACACACGATATTACAATTAATAGTTCAAATTATAGTCTATACGTGTACTTTACGTACCTCGGCAACCGTTTACTTTTTACCGGTCATTCTGTCTTTATTGCTTGACATTCGATACACATCGTGTATGATTGTGTACGCTCAGGACAACATTGCGTAAACACACATAGTAAAACAGCATGCTTATCACAACTTGACAGATGTTCATGTGTTGTTTGAAAGGGTTTTTTGTTATGAAAATAATTTAAATGCAACTTGAATAAGTACTTACATTAGAGTACCCAAATAGAACACTTTTCATAAATATGAAGCAGCATCTTTATTTTGCAAAACGTATGGATGGTACTTTGCTCATGAATTGGAAAAATTCTAAAAGTGAAATGACAATTTTATCCTGGAAATGGTACGGTAAAACAACATCAAATATCAAGTGAATATTTTAATGAATAAAAGACTGAAATTTATCAGAAAGTGCCAAAACTTTCTTGAAATGAACGAAGCTTTTATAAATGCTCTCATGTTTTTTTTAGAAACTGTATTCTATGATGAGGTGTTCCATTTTTGATATCTGGCTTGCTAAAATTTCCAACTGAATGAGACTAACCTAAATTGGTACTTTAAATAGACGCACGCATTAGTGATACCCAGGAAATAAAACAAACTAAAAGCATCTTCTGTTTTATTATAGTAAAAGCATTGATATTCAAGAAACTGAAAGGAAATATTAATATTTTCTTTAATAAGTGTTCCATTTTGGGTACCCTCACGTTACATCGAAAATGGAACATTACATATCAATGTGTAAATGATAATTCAAATCGAGTTATGACGTAATGATTGCCATCATTATACATATGTACGAATAAATATGAAATAAATGCCTTATGCAGTTTCTCAAAAGAAAGAAAATTTGACATAACTGCTTTTACATTTATATTTCTGCCGATTGAACCAGTACAATAATGTGATGTTGGTACAGAGAAAATAATCTTGTATATGATCTATATGTTAGACGAAAAATTCGGATGTTTAACTCGACAATTCATTAGGATTTGTATGTAATATCGTAAGTTTGTATGTAATCTCGTAAGTTTGTATGTAATCTCGTAATTTTGTATGTAATCTCGTAAGTTTGTATGTAATCTCGTAAGTTTGTATGTGATCTCGTAGGTTTAATTTAAATGTTATCTTCAGATTGCTCTTTGGTTTCACCTGAGAACACAGCTTGTTGGGCATTCTGTGTTATGAAGTGTAAAACAGCTGTACATATATACAAGTTGTTTAGCAACATGAAGACTGATCCCCTCAAACGTCCCAACTAATCCGATCAACAAGCTGAATGTCTTGGGCGTCGGGATTACAATTTTAACTTTCTTGGTTCTAGATAAGTTTAGAAGTAAGAATTCTCCCCCGACAAACGAGGACCTACTTTGCCTTAGGCGAAACAAAAATAGTTTGTGTTCCTGGTAACCTTACTTTGTAAAGCTACCCTAAAAGTTAAGGTCAATTTTCAAAGAATCACTGTTTAAGCCAATATCACTCTCCGATCTAAACCATATACATTTATTTTTCAAAACATAATGTTAAACCTACCTTTCTACCTAGCCGATTTTTTCAAAAGTGAACAAGGAAACGCACTGTTTTTGGCCCTATATAAATTAATCGCACGCGCAAAATAAATGTATATATTGTAACTCAATACTAGATAAGCACGGAATAAATTTATCAGGTAATATTGAAACTTTAATTCGCCTTGTAAAATAGAAATCATTACTGTGTAAGGTTACAGCAGTCAAGGCACTTTAACACAGATAGAACAGCTGAGATCCGTCCCTCCGTCCCGGAGTGTTGTTTTCCTTGTTATATTCTTCTCTGTCCAGGAAATGCAAACTGTGCGCGCATAATTTTATCGAAATTAATACCATTTATTGATTACAGTTTGTGATATACAAATGTGGTTATAGGCTCCCGAACATTACTGGCAATAGTTTTGTCGCCTATATCTATAATTAAGTCCGACTCAATATTTAATAAGAAAAAAATGAAAATGAAGTCAATAATTTCTAGCGAAAGATTACATGTGTAGGTCTTAAACAAATCCGAATGTTTGGAGTCAGTTACAAAGACATGAAACCATAGTAATGAACCATTCAGACTCGTCAAATCTCGAGTACAATGTAAATACTAATACTCGCCGTGGGTTTACATGTCGTCATGCGAATCCTTTGGTGCGTCTTCGGTTTATCGGGGAAGAGTGGACAGAATGTTCAGATACAAGTATTTATAAAATCATTTTTAGAATAAAGGATTCTTCTTGCTTGAATAAATTGAGTAAAATGTGTAACAAAAGAAAAGAAAAATAGAAAAAGTAAATAATAATTGGCATTTTTTAATTGCAAACATCAGGTTTTTAATTTAAAATAACGACTAAAAATAATGTTTTTTGTATTTGTTTGCCTACTATATGCTTACAAAAGATATTTAAAACGTCTCCCATTTTTTATGTAAGTACAAGGCAAAACCTAATTTCAAAAGTCTGCCCTGAAGCTTTGTATGATATATGAGGATCCGGTTTTATTAATTATTACTGAATTATAGTATTATATCAGCTTTATTATTTGTGAATAATATTGCGAAATCGTATCATTGGCCTATCAGAACGATTCTTCGTACGTCAAATACAACTTCGGGAAACTGTCAATGTCTGCTCAGATTGATTTGAAGCTAGTTTTAAGTATTTGCATCAAACAAAGCCAATATAATCCAATCAACTATTGAATTTTAAAATGTGTAAATGTGTCATTAATAAACATACTAGAGTTTTAACACTACAGCAGAAAACAAACATGATTTCCCACCAAACAGACAGAATGGCCGCCGCGATAGATGTTGACAAGTGCTGCCACGGAAATATCGAGAGATTATGAGGCGTGTCTTGGCACGCTATTAACCGATAGCTTTTCAAAACAACATTGTATAAAGATTTACAAAAAATAGGATAGAAAAGATAATGATCGACTACTGAATTCTGTCAACAAAGTTCGCTTGTGGGACAGAACACCTCACCCGTCAAAACAAAAGCATTCAACCAAGAAATGACAAAGATGGATGGTATTCAACGGTTATCCATCGAATATTATCAAAATATCATGTTTCATTACTTGATAATACAAATGAGTTAAGATGATTTTTTTTTAATTATTTTTTGAGGCGTTCATTACCACAGAACATCATGCTTTGGTTCCAGTTTGATTCAATGAGACAATCTGTAAACTAAGTATCAATGTAATGGAAGTCGATACGACCTGTCATAGTAAGTTAGGTGATTTAACAAATAAATACATAGAGTTACTTCCCTTCGTCTACGTAGTTACGGCATGGACGTGAAATTAAGATGAACAATATAAACAAAAATAAGCATCATTCAAATATGTCTCCTTCCTCGATTTCCATCGCGATTTCCATGTCATTTGATCTTATCAAATCGCTAAAAATGCTATATATATATATGATGTCATCGTTACTTTTGAATCGTTAGGCGGCATTTTTATCTTTATCTTTGTATTAAACTTTTTCTACGGTTTATATAAAATAATAAAAATACAATTAATATAACCTACTCACTGAAAAAACAACCATGTCTAGTAAACAAAACGTATACCAGTTATACTGTCTTACCTGTTTATCCGGATTTGTAAAATCAATTATAAGGGGAGATGATTCGCTTGTGTACCTCTTCAATTCCTATTGTTTTCTTTTCTATTAACTTCAGTTATATCTCACTGAATACATTTCTAGATGGTATGTCGAACTTGTGCTAGCCGGAAATCTTTCCAATATACAATAACATCCCTCTGTATCTCTTTATGTAGACACCATTCAAAACGATAGGTAAAACTTAAGCAATCCGACTCTTTGTGTGTTGATTGTGAAGTATTGGTTTCAGTGCTGGTCGGTTTAGCCATATTTTAATGTATACCTCTATATACGTCTATCAAAACAAAAATATTTCAAACATTTAACGTTATTGCATGAATGGACACAATCATATATGTGGTAGCAGACTCTCTCAGATCAGGTTCAGTACAGAATTAAACTAATCGAAAAAGAAGTATGATAAAATCGATATCGACAATACTTCAAATAATACAAGTACATAATATGATACGAACTTAGACAACACGGCTTAATTGGGAATATCGGTAACGGGAGTACGGTAAGGAACTAGACATGTTTACAAAATTATATTATATGATATACATTGTATATTTCGTTATTTTTTACCTATGAACAGTAATATGGTCGATAATCGATGGTATCAGTAACTAATAACTATGGTAAATCCCCGTGGTCCATGATACCTTCAACAGAAGCGTGTAGACACAAACTCTCAGCGACCACTCTTAGTTCATCCACACGTGCCAACCCTATACAAAGGGACATAACCCATACAGCAATGACATCTTACGAACAGCACCGCATCATTTTCGTGCAAGTACTCTGAAATGATACAAAAAATCATATACTTAATTATATAACAATTTTCGTATTGAAGATGTTTCTTCAAGAGAAGTGGAATCACCGACAGACTAATATTACTGAAGAATACACTTTAAAATTGTCAGGATATGAACCTTTGCAATAACGACAGACGGGCTGCATGAAGTGAGCAGAGAGAGGGACTGTTCATTTACAACATCCTCACTAACACCCCAACTTACCACGCTGCTACTAACGGGCGCCTTCCATTTCACAGTACCACCATCGTAATCTATTGTTCTGAAGCCGGGAACGAAAGTCAGAATATACGCTACCACAGTCAACGCAAGGAACCATTCTGAAAATGCGGCCGTTAAAAAGATGGGACGAAGAGCACCCTGAAATCACATGGAAGCAAATGCATTTAAATATGAGTGTGATGTTATTTATATTTATAAGTAATTATGCATTCAATAGGAGGCTTCGTACACACTATAATGACATACATTAACCCAAGTAAACACGACTTACTGACACGTACATATGTACATCGTTACAGCATGACTTCAATGCATTGTGTGCCATGTAACTCACGGACGTACATACTACTGACCTTCAATTAGGAAAGTTAGTATCACGTGAACATGACACAAGGTTATACAGGTATGACACTAGTCTCGTCTACAGACGCTAACTCACATCTTAAAGGTGTTAATACCTTCCAATTAGATTAAGGATGCTGGAATGGCTACAAACGACAGTGACTAACGCCTGTAAGTGACGTCAATGTTATGGCTCTTTATTAATAGACAGCAGAATGAAAATGTCATTGTGTTACCGAGACATTTTCTACGCACACAGAGTAGGGGAAATAAAGGCAGGAAACATTAGTTAGATTATGTCATTTAAGTGACGTACAAAAGCTTTGTAGCTCACATCCAAATTGTTTCTATGCAATAGAATCGTCGTCATTTCAGAAAATGGAGTTTTACCTTGATAAAACTCTGTGTTCGTTGTTCCTAGTATTTTATCTACCTTGTTTAAACTCTGTACTCATAGTTCCTTTTATATATTCAATACTGCCTTGTGAAGTCTGTTTTAAAGGTTTACAAAAATGTACCTGTTATTATATTTTTTTCTGAATTTTATTTCGAAATTCAAGGACACATTGCTCCTTGAATATTGCTTATTCACTGCAAAAACCAGCATATCAATCAGAATGCTCTAGAGCTTAAGATTCAGTAAGCTTCAATGAATTTCAAATTGCAATAAAGATAATATAGTAAAGATCCCTGTACAATCTGGAAAACCTGGCTCGGCCAAGGGGATTCGACATTGATTGGTTTTGTAAGGTGATTGTGTATCTGTACATTATATAGTTCAAGTATGAGTGACATTCAAAAGTGTCTGGTTAAGAAAAAAAGGATGTTAATCAATGTTTCTTTATATAATAGTTTTATTTTGAAGACATCGACGTGACTGTTTAAGGCAGGTGGCAGCAAAAGATGACAGCCGTTACAGGTATCTCAGTGTAAGTAAAAAGCAGTTTACACGTATATTTTGTAATGTAACATGCAATTCATTTTCAAATGAGTGAAAGTTGCGTTACTACATAAATGAAAGTAAATAGTGAGTTTGATGTATCTGAACTTCAAAAATGCTAATAGGAATCTCAAATCGTGAAATGATTATCAACAAGTTGATTTTGTTTATATTTGTCAATTAGATTATCCTGCTGAGTCTATGATACATTTCAGACACGAGAAATCTGAAGTACATCAGGTGTGGCAGTGCGCAATAACGCACAAACACGGAAATGATTACAGGAGACGCCATTGCCGTTACAAACACAATTTCAACACCTAACTAAAGTAGATTAGAGAGAATAAGACTTTGGATAACGTACCACGTCTATCAGCTATTGATTATCTATCTGTTAGAAGCCATGAATGACAGAGCTTTGTAAAGCACGTCTTAGCGACGTGAACGAGGCATGTCTCCAAGCAGATAGAACCCGTTAACACATGTGTACTGAATAATTAATTCAGACAGCACCAGGCGTACATAGCTGTGATATATAGAGGTTTACCTAAGTAAAGGAAGGTGGTGAGCATCCTCTTGAAACGTAATACAAAGGGGCAGTTTTGGTCAGCAACCCTATAATAACTAAGTCACTATTGTAGAGAAGTGTTGGTCATCATGTCCAAGATTAAAACAGGGTAAATATCACAGAACGGGTTTGGTCAGCAACCCTATAATAAGTAAGTCATTTCTGTGGAGAAGTGTTGGTCATTATCTTCGTGTTAAAAACAGGTTCACTATCGATGAGAGTGTTATTCACCACCACAATTATAAATAGAAGTCACCACTGGGCAGGAGTGTTGCACAGGATCCCGTCAAAAACAAAGGGTCAGTAGCGTAGGTGAGTGTTGGTCAGCATCCAGGTGATATAAACTGGGTCACCAGGAAGGGGAATGTCGGACAACTCCCTACCATGACTAAAGGGCCATTATTGTAGGTGGTTGCTGGTCAGCATCGCAATGGTAAAACAAGTTTTAGTCGGTATCCTTTTAATGAATAGAAGGTCATTATTGTAGGAGATTGCTGGTCAGGAGGCCAAGGATAAGACATTGGCGTTTTTGTAAAGAAGTGTTGGTCAGTACTGCGAGGTTAATGGAATGTCATGTGATAATATCTTTCTGATTTTGTTCCTTTTGATACCATTTAATAGCATTTCGTTTTAAGGTTCGCTAAACATATATCATGTACCGAATGTTACTAAAACACAACATATAGATAATGTTTGAGTAAGCCTAACACAACACATAGTTAAATAATGCTTTTATAGACAAAACAAAAACACTGACAACATCTCAAAGCTTGAAAAGTATTGATAAAATAACACTGGGAAAAAAAGACAATTAGGATAAAAATATAACAAATTAGGTGATGTGATGACGCACGGCGGACTGAGTGAGTGACAGCACGCTACCTTGAACACATCTAATTCCAGCATAAGGTAAGATCGTCTGTTAATCATAGGGCTTGGACACCAATTACAAAAACAAATTGGTTACATAATGTAGTTAATCATTCCTGGCGTTGTTTATAGGTCCGTCAGATTTGTTATAATCCCATTTTTAGGGAGAAATTGGACAGATATCCAAGAAAACTCTGCGTAAATCAGGATCCCAGGTATGCTATTAACACATCTTACTACACGGTAGCCTTTCACGTTCATTGAAGATATCATATATTTTTTTATTCCACGAGAGTGCAAATCTTCATTGATGTTTTCTTCAAGTCAAACTTATGACGACAGATACAAACACGTGAGATAATTTGCCGGGAGCTTTTAACGTATTTTAACAAATCACTGTCATACGACTGAACACATGACACTAGTTTATCGGTAATGTTTAAGTATACTTGAAATCACAAAGGTTAAAAATGAAACAGATAAAAGTGAGAAGAAGAAACGAAAGTGACGATTGGACAAAGGTGCCACAAGAATGTTGAAGTATGACATGCAGGGTGATCCGTTCTTACCTCCGGTAGGTCAAACTACATGGTGAGTGACAACGGATTAAAACATTTAAAACATCTTTAATGCATTAATTGTACTCATATAATGATATTCATGGTTGGATTCTACAAAACAGCAATAGTCCGTTTCCAATACGTGCTTTAATGAGTCGATCCAATTAATAATAATAATAATAGACTTTATTTAAATTCGATAACACATTGAGTCAATGACTCGTCTCACATGTGGTCGACATAAAATGTACAATATTTACAACACATTGATGAATCTAATAACACAACCAATCATTTATATCCGTACGAACACGGCCCGGTAAACTATGCCTGTTAATCCTATATTACCATACAAACACGGCCCGCGGCGGTAAACTATGCCTGTTAATCCTATATTACCGTACAAACACGTCCCGCGGCGGTAAACTGCGTGTTAATCCTATATTACCGTACAAACACCGCCCGCGGCGGTAAACTGTGCCTGTTAATCCTATATTACCGTACAAAAACGGCCCGCGGCGGTAAACTATGCCTGTTACTCCTATATTACCGTACAAACACGGCTCGGTGAACTATGCCTGTTAATCCTATATTACCATACAAATACGGCTCGGTAAACTGTGCCTGTTAATCCTATATGACCGTACAAACACGGCCCGCGGCGGTAAACTATGCCTGTTAATCCTATATTACTGTACAAATACGGCCCGGTAAACTATGCCTGTTAATCCTATATGACCGTACAAACACGGCCCGCGGCGGTAAACTATGCCTGTTAATCCTATATTACCGTACAAACACGGCGCGGTAAACTGTGCCTGTTAATCCTATATTACCGTACAAACATGGCCCGCGGCGGTAAACTACGCCTGTTAATCCTATATTACCATACCAACACGACTCGGTAAACTATGCCTGTTAATCCTATATTACCATACAAACACGGCTCGGTAAACTGTGCCTGTTAATCCTATATGACCGTACAAACACGGCCCGCGGCGGTAAACTATGCCTGTTAATCCTATATTACCATACAAACACGGCCCGCGGCGGTGAACTATGCCTGTTAATCCTATATTACCGTACAAACCCGGCTCGGTAAACTATGCCTGTTAATCCTATATAACCGTACCAACACGACTCGGTAAACTGTGCCTGTTAATCCTATATTACCGTAAAAACACGGCTCGGTAAACTATGCCTGTTAATCCTATATTACCGTACAGACACGGCCCGCGGCGGAAAACTATGCCTGTTTATCCTATATTACCGTACAAACACGGCCCGCGGCCGTAAACTATGCCTGTTAATCCTATATTACCGTACAAATACGGCCCGGTAAACTATGCCTGTTAATCCTATATTATCGTACCAACCCGGCCCGGTGAACTATGCCTGTTAATCTTATATTACCATACAAACACGGCCCGCGGCGGTAAACTATGCCTGTTAATCCTATATTACCGTAAAAACACGGCTCGGTAAACTATGCCTGTTAATCCTATGTTACCGTACAAACACGGCTCGGTAAACTATGCCTGTTAATCCTATGTTACCGTACAAACACGGCTCGGTAAACTATGCCTGTTAATCCTATATAACCGTACCAACACGACCCGGTAAACTGTGCCTGTCAATCCTATATTACCGTACAAACACGTCATGCGGCGGTAAACTATGCCTGTTAATCCTATATTACCGTAAAAACACGGCTCGGTAAACTATGCCTGTTAATCCTATATTACCGTACCAACACGGCCCGGTAAACTGTGCCTGTTAATCCTATATTACCGTACAAACACGGCCCGGTAAACTATGCCTGTTAATCCTATATTACCGTACAAACACGGCTCGGTAAACTATGCCTGTTAATCCTATATAACCGTACCAACACGACTCGGTAAACTGTGCCTGTCAATCCTATATTACCGTACAAACACGTCATGCGGCGGTAAACTATGCCTGTTAATCCTATATTACCGTACAAACACGGCTCGGTAAACTATGCCTATTAATCCTATATTACCGTACAAAAACGGCCCGGTAAACTATGCCTGTTAATCCTATATTATCGTACCAACCCGGCCCGGTGAACTATGCCTGTTAATCTTATATTACCATACAAACACGGCCCGCGGCGGTAAACTATGCCTGTTAATGCTATATTACCGTACAAACACGGTTAGGTAAACTATGCCTATTAATCCTATGTTACCGTACAAACACGGCTCGGGAAACTATGCCTGTTAATCCTATGTTACCGTACAAACACGGCTCGGTAAACTATGCCTGGTAATCCTATATTACCGTACAAACACGGCCCGGTAAACTATGCCTGTTAATCCTATATTACCGTACCAACACGACGCGGTAAACTATGCCTGTTAATCCTATATTACCGTACAAACACGGTTAGGTAAACTATGCCTGTTAATCCTATGTTACCGTACAAACACGGCTCGGCAAACTATGCCTGTTAATCCTATGTTACCGTACAACCACGGCTCGGTAAACTATGCCTGTTAATCCTATTTTACCGTACAAACACGGCTCGGTAAACTAAGCCTGTTAATCCTATTTTACCGTACAAACACGGCTCGGTAAACTACGTCTGTTAATCCTATAGTCCCGTACAAACACGTCCTGCGGCGGTAAACTATGCCTGTTTATCCTATATTACCATACAAACACCGCCCGCGGCGGTAAACTACGCCTGTTAATCCTATATTACCGTACAAACACGTCCTGCGGCGGTAAACTATGCCTTTTTATCCTATATTACCATACAAACACCGCCCGCGGCGGTAAACTACGCCTGTTAATCCTATATTACCGTACAAACACGGTTAGGAAAACTATGCCTGTTAATCCTATGTTACCGTACAACCACGGCTCGGTAAACTATGCCTGTTAATCCTATACTGTGCCTGTTAATCCTATATGACCGTACAAACACGGCCCGCGGCGGTAAACGATGCCTGTTAATCCTATATTACCGTACCAACCCGACTCGGTAAACTATGCCTGTTAATCCTATGTTACCGTACAAATACGGCTCGGTAAACTATGCCTGTTAATCCTATGTTACCGTACAAACACGGCTCGGCAAACTATGCCTGTTAATCCTATATTACCGTACAAACACGGCTCGGTAAACTACGTCTGTTAATCCTATAGTACCGTACAAACACGTCCTGCGGCGGTAAACTATGCCTGTTTATCCTATATTACCATACAAACACCGCCCGCGGCGGTAAACTACGCCTGTTAATCCTATATTACCGTACAAACACGACCCGCGGCGGTAATCTATGCCTGTTTATCCTATATGACCGTACAAACACGGCCTGCGGCGATAAACTATGCCTGTTATTCCTATATTACCGTACAAACACGGCCCGGTGAACTATGCCTGTTAATCCTATATTTCCGTACAAACACGGCCTCGGTAAATTGTGCCTGTTATTCCTATATTACCGTACAAACACGGCCCGGTGAACTATGCCTGTTAATCCTATATTTCCGTACAAACACGGCCCGCGGCGGTAACCTATGCGTGTTAATCCTATATTTCCGTACAAACACGGCCTGCGGCGGTAAACTATGCCTTGTAATCTTATATTACCATACAAACACGGCTCGGTAAACTATGCCTGTTAATCCTATATTACCGTACAAACACGGCCCGGTAAACTATGCCTGTTAATCCTATATTTCCGTACAAACACGGCCCGCGGTGGTTAACTATGCCTGTTATTCCTATATTACTGTACAAACACGGCCCGCGGCGGTTAACTATGCCTGTTAATCCTATGTTACCGTTTAGATCAGTAGTGGAATAAGATTTCACCGACACCAAGACGGACCAATTTATTTGATAAAACATATAATGCATTAAAGTCAGGTTTAATAATAGATTTCTTTTTATATTATCTAAGCACTCAATATAGATTTTAAAGAATTCGTAATGACTGATAACAATAGCTTATTGATCGACAAACTAGATGAGAGGTCGTCTAGAAAGGATTTAAGCACGTTTAATAGTCTATTTCATTGAAAAATTAACTGACCGAAGTTAACACGTACCGGCTTTTTCAAAAGAAAAGAAGGGTCCGGGAAAGTCCCATGTTGTACACTAAACTTAGAATTACTTGAGCACGTTTCTTTTTCGAGAATTACGGTAAAATAATGGATTACTTTAGGGCTTACCTCTTTCGTTCCGTGTCCGGCGTCTCGTTGATGTCGATAGTGGCCGAGCGACACGCTGACTTTTGATTGTCAAGGGTTTATATTCGTCTTAAGAATATGAAATAATACTTCTTTATATCTTTATGTTACTGTTAAAAGCATTAACATATTAAAACTTGATTAAACTTATATGTAAAAAACATTATGACTATATATTTCCGATTTTTTTATCAATCTAAAAGCCTGTATGTTTTTATTTCAGTGTTAGTTTTAATTTTTAGAGTTATGAAAAAATATCACATGTTGCCTAATTAATCAGCTATACTTGATGTGGAATAGAAACAATTGCTACTTAATAAGTACAAAAAATATCATTTTTAACCAAATATCACACAGGAAATGCAAAATCTCAGATAATTATATAACACGCAAGAGAAAATTTGAAGTCCATGATAACTAGTACACGGTGTAATTTAGAAATCAACTACGCAAATCAACGATACGATAATTTTAATTATTGTACTACATTACACTATCAAAACCGACTTAAATAGTATTTAAATCGATAGAAAGTGAAAAGCGCATTACTAACATTCCAACACTCTCCTAAATCTCGGCTGTTGTGGTTTTCGCAATTGTGTTAGTATTGTAAAATCGATAGGGGAATTATTTGTGCTGTTCTGCAAAGCCTCGATATTCACCATCGATAAAAGGATGTAAGAATAAAGTAAAAGTCCATTTACCAGTATAATTAGGATTCAGATACGGCTTGTAGTTTATCAGAAGGCACAATCTCTTCTCGAGGTCAAAATCATGCCAGTACAGTTCAATAACAAATTGGAAACAGATTAGACACAACTTTATCGATAATGTGTGCATACACCGCCAAAGCACCACATCGCAACCGCGACGTTATTGTAGACGTACCTCTCTATGGGATTTCATGATGAAATCTCGAGTCCAGAAACAGGTTGGTCTTCAAAGAAACGATTTTATAATTAGATATAAATCTTATCAAAACAATTTTCTTTTTTTCCGTTTAATATCTATGTTATAATTGCTGTGGTTAAATAAAAAAAAAGTTTCTTTGTTGATAATTTGTTTAAACCAAATGGGGTTTATGGAGAACGTGGTAACGCTATATTTCTAGGTCTACTGTGTTGTCTGGAAACGGTTTAAATAGCAGCTCAAGCACAGCCTTTGGATTCGGTGGCAGGAAAGGAGTTAACCAGTACACGTTAAGCATAAGGACGAGTCTGTGGCAATTAGTGAGTGAGATAGCTCACGGTAAGTATAAGTACGAGTCTGTGGTAATTAGTGAGCGAGACAGCTCACGGTAAGTATAAGCACGAGTCTGTGGCAATTAGTGAGTGAGATAGCTCACGGTAAGTATAAGTACGAGTCTGTGGCAATTAGTGAGCGAGACAGCTCACGGTAAGTATAAGCACGAGTCTGTGGAAATTAGTGAGCGAGACAGCCCATGGTAAGTATAAGCACGAGTCTATGGCAATTAGTGAGCGAGACAGCTCACGGTAAGTATAAGTACGAGTCTGTGGCAATTAGTGAGCAAGACAGCTCATGGTAAGTATAAGTACGAGTCTGTGGCAATTAGTGAGTGAGATAGCTCATGGTAAGTAAAAGGACAACTATGTAGAAGCTAGTAAGTGAGACAGCTCACGGTAAGTATAAGTACGAGTCTGTAGCAGCTAGTGAGTGAGACAGCTCACGGTAAGTATAAGTACGAGTATGTAGAAGCTAGTGAGTGAGACAGCTCACGTTAAGTATAAGTACGAGTCTGTAGCAGCTAGTGAGTGAGACAGCTCACGGTAAGTATAAGTACGAGTCTGTAGCAGCTAGTGAGTGAGACAGCTCACGGTAAGTATAAGTACGAGTCTGTAGCAGCTAGTGAGTGAGACAGCTCACGGTAAGTATAAGTACGAGTCTGTAGCAGCTAGTGAGTGAGATAGCTCACGGTAAGTATAAGGACAACTATGTAGAAGCTAGTGAGTGAGACAGCTCACGGTAAGTATAAGTACGAGTCTGTAGCAGCTAGTGAGTGAGACAGCTCACGGTAAGTATAAGTACGAGTCTGTAGCAGCTAGTGAGTGAGACAGCTCACGGTAAGTATAAGTACGAGTCTGTAGCAGCTAGTGAGTGAGACAGCTCACGGTAAGTATAAGTACGAGTCTGTAGCAGCTAGTGAGTGAGACAGCTCACGGTAAGTATAAGTACGAGTCTGTAGCAGCTAGTGAGTGAGACAGCTCACGGTAAGTATAAGTACGAGTCTGTAGCAGCTAGTGAGTGAGACAGCTCACGGTAAGTATAAGTACGAGTCTGTAGCAGCTAGTGAGTGAGACAGCTCACGGTAAGTATAAGTACGAGTCTGTAGCAGCTAGTGAGTGAGACAGCTCACGGTAAGTATAAGTACGAGTCTGTAGCAGCTAGTGAGTGAGACAGCTCACGGTAAGTATAAGTACGAGTCTGTAGCAGCTAGTGAGTGAGATAGCTCACGGTAAGTATAAGTACGAGTCTGTAGCAGCTAGTGAGTGAGATAGCTCACGGTAAGTATAAGGACGACTATGTAGCAGCTAGTGAGTGAGACAGCTCACGGTAAGTATAAGGACGAGTCTGTACATTTGTAGCAGCTAGTGAGTGAGATAGCTCACGGTAAGTATAAGTACGAGTCTGTTTCACCTAGTGAGTGAGACAGCTCACGGTAAGTAAAAGGACAACTATGTAGAAGCTAGTGAGTGAAATAGCTCACGGTAAGTATAAGTACGAGTCTGTTTCACCTAGTGAGTGAGATAGCTCACGGTAAGTATAAGTACGAGTCTGTTTCACCTAATGAGTGAGACAGCTCACGTTAAGTATAAGGACGAGTCTGTAGAAGCTAGTGAGTGAGACAGCTCACGGTAAGTATATAAGTACGAGTCTGTAGCAGCTAGTGAGTGAGATAGCTCACGGTAAGTATAAGGACGAGTCTGTAGAAGCTAGTGAGTGAGACAGCTCACGGTAAGTATATAAGTACGAGTCTGTAGCAGCTAGTGAGTGAGACAGCTCACGGTAAGTATAAGGACAACTATGTAGAAACTAGTGAGTGAGATAGCTCATGGTAAGTATAAGTACGAGTCTGTAGCAGCTAGTGAGTGAGACAGCTCACGGTTAGTATACGGACTAGTGAGTGTAATGCGCAGCTTGTGAGTGTAACAGGTAAGACTTTTACGCTGTAAATTAAAGTAAATTTAGCAATCCAACACATCTTAGTTGAGAAATTAATTTAAATCATGTTAAAACTGCATTCATATGCATATAACTGATTGTAAATATCTATTTTCATGCTCATTTATATTTGTTACCTGCAATAAGCTTATGCTAATTCATACTTATACATGTACAACCTACCGATATCGTGTTGCTGAATAATCACGTTGTACGATACACTTGAGAAAGGTTGCTCCTGAATGCGTTTTACAGACTTATATAACATTGGCATTTGTTTAAGAACGTTCCGATAAATCATATATATGTAACTAGAAATTGAAGGTCTAAATAATCGTAATTACGAATCCTTCATTTACTGGTACATGTACGGCAATCATAGCATTATCACATATAAGACACTCTATTTTACATTGTAAACGTTAATTCAGTGTTATACCAGATTGTTTTATACACATATTCAATAGTCTTGATGGTGTAACTTAGTAGTGTATTTCGTTTCTTCACACAAGGTTTGTAAAAGGATACACATGACGAAGAATACAGAGACGAAAAGACTGACTATGATTTGAAATATAAACGTCAGAAAAAACGCCTTGTCTCTTTCCTCTTTGTACATTTTCCATGTTATGATTGCGTGTAGCCAGCAACACACCCCGCCCAGCAGGAAGGTGAGGAACGCTCCAGAGTAATGGGGAATCGGCATCGCGTCTACCTGTAACACGTCAAAATTGATAAATAAAGTAGTGAAATATGACTTTACCGAACAACGTAGATAAAGTTCATTTTACATTTGTAGTCAGGATATTGTTTGTATTATTAAAGTACAAGTTAACTTCTAAATAATGTGATTGGTTTTATTTGCCACCTCGCTCACTGCCAACACACATTTATTTCTACGCCCGCTTTTCCATTCTGTATTGAATTCCTTCATATATCATTGGATATACCTACAAAAACATCATAACACAAAACAGTCTCTGGACAAATGGTTGCGGCATAATAAGCTTTTCAGAGTAATGAGATTTAATGACCGAACAGTAATATTTCGTTGTGGATGTTTTACATATAGAAGTGAAAATGTAACAATTAGCTACAGCACTTCGCGTCAATTATTCACATAGAAGTATACAAAGAGAAAGCATAAAATGTATAGCAATGTTATATAACCGCGACTAATAAAACATTGATATTTACATCAAATGGTTTAACACTAACTAGCTATATCTGTGATAATACGGTGTACCTTTGGCATTTTGTACACGTAGACATACCGCTAGTTAAATATTGATCGGTTAAGACATGCACAGAAAAACTACAATTGGGAAGATATACGGTTATACGACCCATGTCAAATAACATCCTGATTCCATACAACCATATCTAGTTGATTACATTGTCTGTACACGGTTTCCTTAGAATAGAATTTTCCTGATCCACATACATCACTGTCAACAGATACTGCGTACCATTAATTATACTTGTAGTATTGACCTGCAGTCAACATCACGGCTCAGGTTCTACGTACAAACCTATAGACCAGATATCAAACATCCTACGTCATAGCTTCTGCTCATAGCTGTCTGTCAAGTGACGTTTTGACAGATGGTTCTTTATACACAATGACTTCCTCATTACGACCAATACATTCGAAAAAATGCTAAAAACAATATATTTTTTTAAAGAAATCAGCACATCTTCCAGCGTTTTTTTTCTTTCTCCAAAAAAGCATGTGATTCACATTTAAGTATGGACTTATCGACAAGCAGTATACATGAAAGTGACCATGGTCCTCATCTATGCGTTTTAATAACTCTAACGTCATCATTGCCTAGCTAGCAGTTCTAGTTTGTAAATGACCTTGAAATTCTGAATAAAAACACAAGCCAGTGAGATGATTAGAGCTAACGAGTGTATCAGAATCCCACTTTAGACAATGGATTGTTACTTACGAACATGTATAAACAGATTATTCAAAAGCATGTATTTTTCTTGATTAATGTCAAATTTCATCAGATTTTGGTCAGTTAAATAAGTTACTAAAGTTAAATTATTCTAAAATTTCAGAAGCTCCAAGAGTATACAAAAAAAGTTAAAATCTTGCAATCTTAAAAATATTATTAAGTTTTCAAAAAACATAAGTTAACTATAAAGTTGAGTTTGCTGACATATTTACAATTACAGAAAGAAAAATTATCTGAGATAAGTCACAGAATTAACAAGATGCCCAATGGGCCTGAATCTCTCACCTGGTATTAATCTCACACTTGTAATCTTAAAAGTGGACTAAAATGCAGCTACAGGCAGAATACCAGTGTTTGATTCATAAGAACCCATTAAAAGATTTAAACATATGACGCCTGTGACCTTGAATGTCGAACAAGGACATTAGGTTGAACAGAGTTTAAAGTCTTCCAACACAGCATGCTTTTGGCAAAATATCATAACCCTTGACCTATTGGTTATACAGAACAAGTCATTTAAAGATTTAAACATATATTGACCACTGTGACCTTGAATGTGAGCGAAGGTCATTCATTTTGACAAAATTGGTAGCCCTTCATCCCAGCCTGGTAATGATCAAATATCATCACCCTTGGCCTTTGGCTAATTTAGAGGAAGTTGTTTAAAGGTTTTAAACATATTTGACCCCTGTGACCATGAAAATAAGTAAAGGTCATACATTTGAACAAACTTGGTAGCCCTTCATCCTGGCATATTACTTGTCAAATATCATTATCCTAGGCTTCTTAGTTATTCAGAAGAAGTTGTTTAAAGGTTTTTAACAAATTTGACCCCTGTAACCTTGAATATAAGTCTAGGTCATTCATTTGAACAAACTTGGTATACCTTCATCCCAGCATGCTAATGGCCAAATAGCATTATCATAGGCCTCCTGGTTATTCAGAAGAAGTTGCATAAAAGTTTTAAACATATTTGACCACAGTGACCTTGAATATAGGTGAAGATCATTCATTTGAATAAACTTGGGTGCCCTTTATCCCAGCATGCTACTGGCCAAATACCTTAACCCTAGGCCTCTTAGTTATTCAGAAGAAATTGTTTAAAGGTTTTTAACATATTTGACCCCTGTAACCTTGAATATAAGCCAAGGTCATTCATTTGAACAAACTTGGTATACCTTCATCCCAGCATGCTACTGGCCAAATACCTTAACCCTAGGCCTCTTAGTTATTCAGAAGAAGTTGTTTAAAGATTTGTTAAGACAATTGACCAATGTGACCTTGAAAATGGACGAAGGTCATTCATTTGAAAAAACTAGGCAGCCCTTTATCCCAGCATGCTACTGGCCAAATACCTTAACCCTAGGCCTCTTAGTTATTCAGAAGAAGTTGTTTAAAGGTTTTTAACAAATTTGACCCCTGTAACCTTGAATATAAGTCTAGGTCATTCATTTGAACAAACTTGGTATACCTTCATCCCAGCATGCTACTGGCCAACTATCATTATCCTAAGCCTTTCGGTTATTGAGAAGAAGTTGTTTAGAGGTTTTTAACATATTTGACCCCTGTGACCATGACTATAAGTAAAGGTCATTCATTTGAACAAACTTGGTAGCCCTTCATTCTAGCATGTTACTGACCAAATATCATTAGCTTAGGCATCTCAATTATTCAGAAGAAGTTGTATAAAGATTTTTTAAGACAATTGACCCCTGTGACCTTGAAAATGGACGAAGGTCATTCATTTGAACAAACTTGGTAGCCTTTCATCACAGCATACTACTGGCCAAATAGCATCATCATAGGCCTTTTGGTTATTGAGAAGTTGTTCAAAGGTTTTTAACATATTTGACCCCTGTGACCTTGAATATAAGTAAAGGTCATTCATTTGAACAAACCTGGTAGCCCTTCATTCTAGCATGTTACTGGCCAAATATCATTAGCCTTGGCCTCTTTGTTGTTCAGAAGAAGCTGTATAAATTTATAGTATGCTATTTTAACAAGAACCCAATGGGCCTGAATTGCTCACCTGGTATTAATCTCACACTTGTAATCTTTAAAGTGGACTAAAATGCAGCTACAGGAAGAATATCAGTGTTTGACTCATAAGAGCCTATTAAAAGATTTAAACATATGACGCCTGTGACCTTGAATGTAGAAAAAGGACATTAGGTTGAACAGAGTTTAAAGTCTTCCAACCAAGCATGCTTTTGGCAAAATATCATAACCCTGGATCTATTGGTTATACAGAACAAGTCATTTAAAGATTTAAACATATATTGACCACTGTGACCTTGAATATGGGCGAAGGTCATTCATTTTGACAAAATTGGTAGCCCTTCATCCCAGCCTGTTAATGACCAAATATCATCGGCCCCTGTGACCTTGAATATATGTAAAGGTCATTCATTTGAATAAACCTGGTTGCCCTTTATCCCAGCATGCTACTGGCCAAATATCATCATCCTAAGACTTTCGGTTATTGAGAAGAAGTTGTTTAAAGGTTTTTAACATATTTAACCCCTGTGACCTTGACAATAAGTAAAGGTCATTCATTTGAACAAACTTGGTAGCCCTTCATCCTGGCATATTACTGGCCAAATATCATTATCCTAGGCCTCTTAGTTATTCAGAAGAAGTTGTTTAAAGGTTTTTAACATATTTGACCCCTGTGACCTTGAATAAAAGTCAAGGTCATTCATTCGAACAAACTTGGTAGCCCTTTATCACAGCATGCTACTGGCCAAATAGCATCATCATCGGCCTTTTGGTAATTGAGAAGAAGTTGTTTAACATATTTGACCCCTGTGACCTTGAATATAGGTAAAGGTCATTCATTTGAACAAACTTGGTAGCCCTTCATTCTAGCATGTTACTGGCCAAATATCATTAGCCTTGGTCTCTTTGTTCAGAAGAAGTTGTATAAAGATTTTTAAGACAATTGACCCCTGTGACCTTGAAAATGGACGAAGGTCATTCATTTGAACAAACTTGGTAGCCTTTCATCACAGCATACTACTGGCCAAATAGCATCATCATAGGCCTTTTGGTTATTGAGAAGAAGTTGTTTAAAGGTTTTTTAACATATTTGACCCCTGTGACCTTGAATATAAGTAAAGGTTATTCATTTGAACAAACCTGGTAGCCCTTCATTCTAGCATGTTACTGGCCAAATATTATTAGCCTTGGCCTCTTTGTTATTCAGAAGAAGTTGTATAAAGATTTAAGACAATTGACCCCTGTGACCTTGAAAATGGACGAAGGTCATTCATTTGAACAAACTTGGTAGCCTTTCATCACAGCATACTACTGGCCAAATAGCATCATCATAGGCCTTTTGGTTATTGAGAAGTTGTTCAAAGGTTTTTAACATATTTGACCCCTGTGACCTTGAATATAAGTAAAGGTCATTCATTTGAACAAACCTGGTAGCCCTTCATTCTAGCATGTTACTGGCCAAATATCATTAGCCTTGGCCTCTTTGTTGTTCAGAAGAAGCTGTATAAATTTATAGTATGCTATTTTAACAAGAACCCAATGGGCCTGAATTGCTCACCTGGTATTAATCTCACACTTGTAATCTTTAAAGTGGACTAAAATGCAGCTACAGGAAGAATATCAGTGTTTGACTCATAAGAGCCTATTAAAAGATTTAAACATATGACGCCTGTGACCTTGAATGTAGAAAAAGGACATTAGGTTGAACAGAGTTTAAAGTCTTCCAACCAAGCATGCTTTTGGCAAAATATCA